AGTCGCAGCGGCCACTGCAAAAGCACTAGCAGCAACGTCCGAGCCCCAAAGCGTGGTCGGCACAGAAGCTGGCGAGGCCGTTCCCCCGACAGAAAAGCCCGCCGAGCCTTCAGAAGAAGCAGGTCACGCAGACGCAGAGGCTGCGAAGCCGGCAGATCCTGCCCAGCCCGCCATGCTCGAGCCTGCGCAGCCTGCGGACGTGAAGAGCGACTCCACAACCGGGCCGGTCGAGGCTGGTCGCCACATGTAGGGACCGCACCTGGACACATGCGTTTGGCTCGTGCAGCTAAGGCCCCAATCCTTTCTCCGCGGGGTGGGACTGGGATGGGTTCGTGGCTGGAAAGTCGGAAGACAAGACCTACTAGCACCACCCCACCCTGCCTTTGTTAAGCGAGGGCAACCATGGCAAGAAGGCTAACCCCGGAAAGCCCAAACGGATCCTCAAGCCCGTGTGATTGCATCCACATATCACCGGCAAGCCTTACGCCTTGGAAAGGATTGGGCAGTGCTGAAACATGGAGGGTTGTTGAGCCTAGACTCGACAAAGACAGTGGAACTCTTTGAAAGAAGCATGGAAACCTTGATGTGAACAGAGCGCTTGCAGCACTAAGTCAGGAGCAAGATCTTGCCCATCTGAGCTTGTCAGGCGGTCCAGCAGGAAGATCGGACAGCCACGGGCAAGTCTGCGGAACCAGGTGCTAGTTCTGGACAAGCAGCCCAGGCAAGTCATGTTGAAAAGGGCTCCGGTCGTCAAGTGTAGTATCCGCTCTAAGCTAGCCGTCCTTCCTGATTCCTGTCTTGCAAGTTGGAGGTAGCGGGAGGCGAGGAGACGGCTTACACTCAGCAGTTGGAGGAGGGAGCGAAGCGCATGTCTGCTATCGATGGCATGGACGACTTGCTGGCCGAGCTCTTGCAGCAAGAGGAAGAGCCTGAGGAGGCGGAGGCAGAGGGGGCAGAAGAGGCAGAAGAGGCAGAGGACGCAGAGGACGCAGAGGACGCAGAGTGGGCAGAGGGAGCAGAGGGGGCGGAGGAGGCAAAGGAGGCGGAGGAAGAGGAAGTTCCAGCTCCATCCGAGGAAGCCCCGCCGACCACACCTCCAGAAAAGGCAGAGGCGGAGACAGTGAAACCCGACGATGGCAAGGCAGCAGATGGAGGAGCAGAGCCGGCTGTGGAAGCTGCCGCCGCAGCCGCGGCTGCAGAGCCCACGGCTGAGGAGCCGGCGGCCACAGAGCCCGAACCAAAGCAGGAAGCTGAAGACGCAGCGGCAGAACCCGCAGAGGGAGAAACGAAGCGTCGCAGACGGAAGAAGCCCAAGGAAAAGGAAGATCAGGTCGATGCGGCAGAGGCAGCCACTGATGCGAGCGAAGCCGCAGGGGGCCAGCCGGCAAGCAAGGACCCCGAGGAGCCCGCAGAGGCAACAGCAACAGCGCCAGCCACGCTGGCATCAGCGTCTGAGTCCAAGGTAGACGCGGCTTCAACCCCGGCAGTTGATGCAGGGGAGGCTGGCAAACGGGACGAGAGTTCAAGCGCAGATGGGCATGCTGTCGCGGGTGCGACAGCATCTCGGAAAAGTGCAGTCGGAAAGGCCCCAGCAGAAATTGACTCTGCAGATGGGGCTGCAAGCCAGAAAGTCGCAGAAGCTGGCGAGGCCGCTCCCCCGACAGAAAAGCCCGCCGAGCCTTCAGAAGAGGCTGCGAAGCCGGCAGATCCTGCCCAGCCCGCCATGCCCGAGCCTGCGGAGCCTGCGGACGTGAAGAGCGACCCCAAGAGCGCCGCAAAGACCCCGGCGGTGAGCGACAGCGACTCGAAGACCGCAGATATGCCGAAGCGCTCCGCTGCGGCGGAGCAGGCGGAGCAGGAGCAGGCGGAGCAGGCGGAGCAGGCCAAGAGCGACTCCGGCCGGAGCCCCGAGGAAACTTGGGAGTGCGAAGCAGGCGAGGATGTAGGTGAGTTGGGGATTTTCCCTGCAGCCTTTCCGCCTGACCCGGTGGAAATCTACTCAGTGACCGAGGGCTCTTGGGCGGCAGAGGAGGGTGTCGTGGCAGGCGATGTTCTTGTGGCCATTAATGGCAAGCCCGTTCCGGACAAGAAGGACATGAAGCGCCTCATGAGGGAACGACCTCTTCGCCTCACTTTTCAGAGGCCGAGTTTTGAAAGCCCCGAGGAGTCCCAGGACGAGGCAGAGATGCCGGGCTTCGAGTGCAAAGCTGGGCCGGAGGTCCCGGATCTGGGAATCTACCCCTCGGCCTTTCCACCCGATCCGATGCTCGTGGCCAGGGTCACCGAGGCTTCTTGGGCAGAAGCGCAGGGCATCTTGCCCGGAGACGAGCTCCTGGAGATCCAAGGGAGGGCGGTTCAAGAGATGACCGCGAGGGAAGCGAAGCGAGCAATGAGGGAGAGGCCTCTTCTCCTGTTCTTCCACCGGTCAGAAGAGCCGGCTTCGGCATCCTCCTCGGCGCCCGCCTCCCCACCGCCGAAGCCGCGAAAGTCCAGGGCACCCGAGACACCGGACGATGTGCTCAGCCAGGCTCGGAAGTCCCTGGCGGCCATCCTGCCCGACGGCATGAACCCCTTGCAGAACACAGCGGCCCAGTCGAGCCTCGGCCCTGCAATTTGCCCCGCTTAACTAAGAGCAAAGAGAGAGCGAGAGCTGCCAGCAGTAGCTCTCTTTTCTTTTGTGGGCGCCGAGGAGCTCCAGCGCTCGCAAGCCCGGGCCTGAGAGTTCAACGCGGCTCCTTGCGGCTCCCTCTGTTTTTTTTGATTCACAGAGGTCCAAAAGGGCAGAGTCCGGCGAAGGACTGCGAACCTCCAAAGTTGTCTTCCAAGAAGAGGCACGTCCCCGCAGGGTCCCCACACGGCTCGCGCACGGCTCGCACACTTTCACCGTTTGAGTAGGGCGCAACCAATCAGACAGCCGTTGCCAGTCGACTCTGATCTGGTATATATCCGTGAAGAAATACGGAGGCTCTGACCCCATGTTTCTGCGCGTCGCGTCAGAGGATGTGAGGACGGCATGCTCGTGCGAGAAGAGTGCCATCTAACGCATGCCGCTGACACGTCAGCCAGAGAGTAACATCACCACAGTTTGATGGGACGGCAATATTGAAACTTTATCCCCTTGCACTACGCCACTACGCTGCACCGCCGCGCCTGCCCAGGCAGCGGAGGAGGACGGCTGGGATGATGACGAGGACGATTGGAATCAGCCCGTGGCTCAGAAAGGCGCCAAAGGCAAAAAGGACGAGAAAGGCTCCGAGAAGAAGAGCGACAAGAAAGGGAAAGACGGGAAAGACGGCAAGGAGAAGCCGAAGCAAGGCAAGGAGAGTGACAACAAGAAGGAGAAAGAGAAGGAAAAGGAGAAGGCGAAAGAGAAGCCGAAGGAGAAGGGTAAAGAGAAGGAGAAAGCAAAGGAAGCTCCGAAGGAGAAGGAGAAGAAGGAAGAAGCTCCGCCGTCGGGGGCCCAGGCGGCCCAGGTCCGCAAGTTCGCGCGTCTGATTTCTTCAGTGTCACACACATATTTTTTTGCGAGGCCCCTGCTTTGCTTTGCCTCCGCAAGCGACGTGCGCCTGGGTTTCAAAGTCGACTGGCCACCAAACCCCACCTACGTCAGCAAGGCCGCCGAACGGCTCGGGCGAAATAGTCGATTTGCGCTGCAGCTGTCTGCCAGGTCGACCGAAACAGCTGGGCCGAGATGGCGCAGGCCGCGTGGGCTCGGCTAGGGGGGCTCGGCTAGCTCAGGGAGAGAGGCGTGGGGTCGTCCTAGCCGGAGCTGCCGTGGCCGTATTCACGGCTTCGCTCAATCCGGTTGGCGGTGTAGGTCCCATCCTGCGCAAAATCCCACTCAGCATACTCTCATGTGACAGACTCGTGAAGAACTCCGGCCACGCAGAGTCTGCTGTCGGCACATCTGTCATTTATGACTCCCTAAATGTCGATGTTTTAAATCGTTGTTGACTGTTTTTCTTGAACGTTGTTGGCTTAACACCGACCAGGTAGCCACAAGCGAGAGGTGGTTGAATGGCTGGAAGTGGAGACACTTCCGTGCCACCACCTGATCGTGATTGTTGTGATCTTTCATGCCGAAAACAGTCAGTAGTCACAAATGACCGCCCTCAAGTTACCCGAAACTGCACTTTTTCCTAGGCGCGGTACGATTTAGAAAATATAGGAAATTTAAATTTAACAAATATAACAGGAGATATTCAATTACCAACAACCGGCGTAGATATGTTTAGAAATAGTGGAGACAGTAATTATAATTTAAGAGTTAGGGACACACAAGGAGTTTTTGAATTTAAGAATCGAAATTTTAGATGTATGAACCCGAGCAATCCAGCAAATGGAACAGAGATGATATTACACGATACAGGCGGGGATTACAGATTACGTATTGGAAGCACTACAACAGCGACAGTAGGAATAGGAAGACAATATAACGCATCCTCTCATTTAACGGTAGGGGGGACGAGTAATTTTAACGAGACAAGAGTTGAAAACGATGCAACATTTTTAGGGCAACAATTATTAAGCACTAACGGAAGAATATTTCAACGAGCAGATATTAATAATTCATTAAATGTAATATCAACAGAAGAAATTAATTTTTCATTACAGACTGATAGAACAACAGATCCTACTACTGGGACGATCTGCCTTCAGTTAAATGACACTAACGGAATAACTTTGAACAGAGCCGCTACGAATAATCTTACTTTTAATAGTATTGGTAATATCGTTGGTGAAAGTGATGTCATTAGTTGGGGACGTTTTATGTTTCAGAATAGTAGTGAGTTAAAAGAAGTATTAAATACTCAATATAAATTATACATTAGAAATGGTGATGCATTAGGAGAAATGAATGAAGTAATGGGTTTAGAAAGTAGCACACCAGAAATTCAATTAACTGACGGTAAAGTAAATTTATTAGGTAATCTTGAAATAACACACGTTGATGTTGCAGGTTCGCAAAGAGTATTAATAAATAACCCAGACACTGATGGATTTATTAGATTAAGCAATAATAGTTTGTCAAGATTAGATGCCACAAATACAGGCGTTGATGTTTACGGTTTCTTTACTACAACAAATAACGCAGATATTGGAGGAACTTTAACATGCACCGCCTTGATAGAAACATCAGATTTTAAATTAAAAGAGAACGTTAAAGAAGTGAATACTAAAGATTGTTATAGTGTAGTTCAATACATTAAACCGAAAACGTTTAATTTTTCAAGGACGAAGATAAGAAGAGTGATCTAGGATTTATGGCCGACGATGTGCAAAATGCTAAACTGCCCCCTGAATGGGATAACGTAATCTTTTATAATGATGATGGTATGAAATTACTAGCATACAATAAAATGACAGTTATTTTGTGGGGCGCTGTGAAACAAATTATGACTGAAAAAGATGAATTAGTGGATATGGTAAAAACAATGAAAAAGGACATGGCAACAATGAAAAGTGAAATTACGAAATTAAAAAAGAAAATTAAAGAAGATAGTGATTAATAATATTATGACTATTATAATATTATTAATCTCGTTCTCTTGACTTTAAATATTTTTTGTGTTTCTTGCTTCTTTCATGAACTAGTTTATGATGATGTGTGTATTTGCCACCGCATTGACATTGAAATTTAGCCCAGCGGTGTTTTTTTATGTGTTCTATGTTGTCTTCTTTGTATTCATTCCACTTCCTACCAGCAACTTTTTGTATTAATACAGTCATTACATTCTATATGTTGCCCTTCTATTTTCATAAGCTCTTCTTTTGAATTGCAAGGCGTGATTTCTATCAGCTCTATCTTACAATTATCAACACCGTATTCATCAAACATTTCAAAAGAACTTGTAAAAACGCGCTTCCATCCGTTTTTATAATCACCATAAGCGTAACCATGTCTCGCCATTCTTTGATTAAACTTTCACATGTAGAACCAATATAGCATTGGTTATAACCAACATCAACAATTTTATAAATTTTTGCATTATGATATTTATTCATATCCCTAAAAATCATAATGTATCTTTTCTTTAAATGTCAATTAATAATTTCTAAATTAACAATATATGGGTTCTACATCTTCCAAATCTTCTGCTACTGAAAATATGAAACAAATGAAAGAGTTAGACATTAATGAAAAACAAGAACAGATATGTTGTTATTTAAGACTTCGAAAGATGTTATTGAAAGAGTTGAAAAATTAGAAGAAACAAAAAGCGACAAAATATATTATAAACTACCTGCTATAAACTTGTGTAGTTACTCGTTGATTTAATGAATAATATTATCAATAAATAGTATTGTTAATCACCTATTTCAAAGCGTTGTTCAAAGTTAATGAAGAACATATTACTAACATCTTTAGCATTGGTGTTTATGTAGAAGAACGAGTAGGGAGCAAAATTCACGGCTTTCTGATACATTTCGTATAAACTCTTCTTATCTACTAGTGCTGAGTTTTCTTCAATAAAGGCATTAACTTCATTCATATTTTTGAGTCTGAAGATGAATAATGCACTACTGTTTAAGCGAATGATAGGTGCCAATACATTATACTTCTGAGTGGATAAGACGACACTTGTAGCGTTATGACGACCTCTTGTGAAAAGACCGTGCAGAATATTTGAGTATCTTACAAAACGTGGGTCATCACTAAAGTCGTCCACCACTAACAGAAAGCTAAATAAATCCTTTTGTTTATTCTTCTTCTGAAAATCAATGAAATTATGTTGAGTGTCTATGATCTTCTTTAGTGCCACCGGATCGTATTTTTCGTAATAAAGCTGTTCTTTTTCTGCATCCACCTTCATTACATCCTTTATGTATTTCTTTACTGCCGACCATGTGTCATCAACATGAACACTGGGCGAGAAGATGTATATTCTCTCAAACGATCCTTTGTAAATTTTTAATATTAAGTTCTGGATCAATACTGTTTTACCGCCTGTTGAAGAAGCCACGCATAACATCCGCGCGGGTAGCTTCGGCATCATGTCAAACTTGCTGTTTTTATATTTATATTCGGGTATGTCTATCGGTTCTACTTTAGGTATTTCTTCACTCATTAACTAATAGGAGAAAAATATCTTTTAATATAATGGAGAAGTATCTAGAGACAATCAATGATATTGAGGAAATTGAGAAGATTGTAATACAAGACACCAAGCTTAAAAGGTGTTGCACCGCTTCTTTAGAATTGCTTAAAGCAGTTCTTGAGTGTTAAAACACTCTAAGAAAGTTTAATGAGTGACAATCATAGGGAACCTAACGAAGGCGGCTTCCACTTGAACACGGATGGGGTAAACTGTTTGCCATGCAAATGCAGAAGAAAAACTTTTCACAAAGAAACTAAGATAAACAATGAAGGTAAAACAATAATTGAAGATAGAAGTAGTTGGAAGATGGGGAGAGGAATAACCCCCGATTAAAACGACATATTTAAAACAAACGCACAAGATAACGAAGGTGTTGATACAGCTACCACCGGGTGGGGATCGCGAAAGCCTACGCCAGAAGAGAGGTTAGAAAAAGTAGAGGAAGATGTTGACAGGATAGACAAAGATGTAAATATTTTGAAGAATAATTTAAATATAATGGATTAAAACCTAGTCTATAATGACAGGCCATCTTGGCATAAAAAAGCCCCCAATGAAAACAGGAGAAGGAAGTGAGCCAATGCCCCCGTGTGCCTAGCAAGTTCTACAGGTTCATAGGCAAACCACAAGATTTTGGTAATGACATTAATTCGTAATTAGTTTCGTTAAATCTTAGGGAACCAGCGCAAATTTTCATAATATCGCATTATGAAAAAGTGTATATAATAATAATAATGCCAATAAAGGTAGATAAGATATCAGTTGATTTTGAACCATATACCGAAACAAATAATGTTGTTACTAGGAAGTGTTATCGTTGTAAGCAAGTCAAACACATAGATTGTTTTAAGCGTTGCTATTGCGCTGGTAAGCATTCTTATTGTTATGTTAAATATATTGCGACTTGTTCTGAATGCTTGGATAAATCTGACAAACAATAATGATCCAGTAAATCTTTAGAGTATAATTTTTCTAGGGTAAATGACTTAAGAGAAAAAACCCTACTATAATAATAGAATGATGAATTGGCAACTAGAAGGAGCAACCACACCACAAGACATTATTCAACTTGTAACTGAAAACCCACTACCACCTAGTGGAGACAAATTTTGGAGGAAAGTAGCATATAATTTATGGCGAGTGCAAATACCGTTTGAAAAAACAGTTCAGAATAAGTTTGAACTTTTTTGGCACAGTATCTGTTTAAGAGACGAAGAAGGAATTATTGAACTGTATAAAAACATTAATACTATTTAAAAAGTTATGGCAGTAGGAGAAAAGTTGAACAAACAGAGTGGTATGGATTCACTGTATGTGAATATCTGTATTTTAGGAGAAGCAATTAAGACAGTTACACACGACAGAGATTTGATAAAATCAATATTTAAAACAATACTTCATGTATGGAAGGATAGCGGATTATGGATAAATGAAGAATAAGCATTTAAAACCAGGAACTGCGTAGTTATAGTGTAATTATACTACATAAGCAGTTATATATTATAATTACAGTAATGTTACAACCCTTAACCCTAAACCCTGAACCAAATTCTACAAGGACCCCTTCGCCCCTTTTGAGCAATAATGCCACCTTAGAGAAAATAGATGGGGTAATGGTTATTCCTAAAATTGTATTGATAATGGGGTAGTAGTAGTGATATATCGGTGAAGTGTAGGGGGGACCCTAGGAATAATCGTATAATGGGGAAGTAGTAGTGATATATCGGTGAAGTGTAGGGGGGACCCTAGGAATAATCATCTAATGGGTTGACGGTGGCATTATTACCCAAAAGGGGCAAGGTATCAACTAACTCTGTAGCCCTAAACCCGAAGCTGTGGACCCCAAAGCCTGAATCCTAATGTGCTAACGCCTCACGTCGGCTCTGCCCTCCCCGATGTCCTCTGGCTTTTCGCCTCCAGGTAGAAGTTGGTCTGCGGTTAGACAAAGCTGGCGGCAAGGATGTGGCAAAGATGAGCAAGGAGCGACTTGAGAATTCTTCCAGTGACTCAGGTCGTGTTTTCATGTGCTGGACGTTCTTCCCCAGCTTCTGCTGAGGAGAAGTTGAAGAAACTACTTGACGAGACTAGGCCTCTGGAATTGGCCTTTGTGAAGGACAAGGCGGGGACGGGACACTGCGCAGCAGAGCATAAAGTCCCAGCGACTCTGCTGGCAGAAGAAGAAGAAGCCGCCAAGCGCCAAGCCCGAGAACGAGAGCATGCTGGGAGGAATGTTTGGTTGAGCTCCCTCTGAACCTCCCGAAGTGGATATTTCAGAGTCGAGCTCTCGCACATTTCCGGAAAAAGGTGCGCAAGGGGTTGAAATAAACAGGCCACGAACCCGGAGACAGCATGGCGTTGAACGTGGCCGAAGAACTCAGAACCTTCGCATATGGCTCCATCAGACACCTCCTTTCCGGAATAGAAGCACTTGCTCGGGCAACCGAGCTAGCCTTTTGCACGGCCTCGTCACATCTGTTGCAGAAACACTTTGTCTGGCATCTCCCCTATTGATAGATGTAGGGCATACCGCTTTCGGGATTGACGCCATGGGCTTGTCCAAGCAACTGCTCCCATACTCTGCGTGTGGGGCGGATCGGGTGGGGTGCGCGAGCCCTGCCAAAGGCCATGCGAGACCCGCCATGAAAACAAAGACGAGGGCTTAGGTGAATATGTCGTCTTCTTTGCGGTGCGTATCGCATCAGTGTCTGTGCGCGTGTGTGTGTGTGTGTGTGGGTTGGAACTTGTCGTGTGACTGTTCAAGCTTGGATGCTTGATTCTGCATGACCTCATTAACCTCTGCCCCTTCAGGGTCTATTTCTTAGCACACGAGAGCATCCTTCACTGCAACATGCAAGAGTGACTGTAGAGGTACGTAGCCCACTACAGTATGTCTCAGAAAATCGTGCACATCGTGAACTTGCACGTGCTGGTGCCGTTAGCCGGTTCTATCTTCCTTAGAAGGATACGCCATTGTTTGTGCTGCTTTAATTTCTGCCGTATGCAGTGGATGTCGGATATCAGTATAGAAGGTCGTGCCATCGCCTTGGGATTGCTCTGACCTTGACCTTCACTGAGAGCGTGGGAACCTGTCCAGGTCATGCCCTCGCGAGCCGCCTTTTGCTGCCCTTTCCTTTGTTGAGTGTGAATCTCACGTACACCATCCTTCTACGAAGAATCGGTGTGCTGGCATGAGCCCGCGAAATGTGCAAGAAGTGTGGTGTGGATGAGCAGCCATATCGCGTGCAACACCTCGGTGCGGCTGCAAAGCAAAGTCGGAGCTCACGGTGCCGCAGAAAATGTCGATCCCCGCAAGGCAGCTGCATGTTTGCTGGCATCCTGCCAACCTGTCGGGCACCCCTGGCAGCGATGCCTACTATCAGGATGGCCGGCAAGGCTTCGTCGCGTTTTCCCCTCGGCACGAAACTGTTGCAGATGGGCCAATCGCCCAAGAAGGATGCGCCCGTGGCCGGTGCTTTGCCTGAGAGGTGCCTGATCAGTTCAGAAAAGTGCACACGGGACCGGGCAAATTCGGCATGCCATGCTCATATGCAAGCCTGGCGGGATCGCCCCGGAACTCGGTTCTTCGAGGACCATTCCAAGACCCGGCGATCTGGCAGAGTGTAATGGCCCGACGGTGTTTGGCTTGAGTGTCGGGTGACTTCTAGCACCCGAGATGCCAGATCTTCGCAGCACGCTTTTGGGATGTCTTTCTACTAATGCTGCGAGGCTTTGGTCGATGGGGCGGCTTCGTGTTGCTGCACCGTTGGAGCTGCCAGTTGCAGGCTTTCCACGCGGCAAGGCTCTCTCCTCTTGAGAATGGATGGCTCGAATCGTAGGGCCTGTCGAATGTCTCGTGCCACGGACTGAGCAGGAGGGAATGCTCCGTGGGTAGATGCAGAGTTGCCCGGGTGCATTCGCAGTGCCAGCAAGGCAAGGCAGCATGATCTGAGAGCAGGCATCTGCACGCACTGCACGCACTGCATGCATGATGTCAGCAATGGCCTACGCTGGTTCAGTAGAGTAATTATGGTGTAGAGCCTTAAGCCCTGTTACAGTCCCCAGGTTAATGCAGAATGCTTAGTCGCTCTAGTATGTTGAGGACACAAGCAGTCTGTGCCGCAAGAACCGGCTGCCGGTGTGGTTGGGTTCCGGTCGCCCAGCTTCCGGCTGCCGCTCCGACCTTACCCGTGCACGGGCCATCTCGGAAGCAGCACAGATTTTCGGTGGATTCGTTGTGGCAGCCCACGTTGCATCCCTCGCTGCCCCTGCATTCTGTAATTCAGAAATTCCTAGCGAACGGCGGAGCAGCTGGGAAACGGCGAATATTGCGGAACCTTGACCCCTGCTTAGCCTTTGCCACTGCCGTGAAGTGTTCCCTGCTTCTAGCTGCGGCGGGCCATGGCGTTCGGACGTAGTCAAAGCAGCCTGGCCACCTTCAGACGCGGACTCCTGTTGATATCGGTGGCAGGCAGACCCCGCTAAATCGAATGAGGCTCCCTAGCTGTGACTCCTTGCAGCAGTCAGGCAGTGGCTGCTATGCTAGCATTGGGCTTGGCAAGGCAGTTTAGTCCACTTTGTTTTGCCGGCTGGCGGGGTCTCTGACTTCGGTGTCTGCCGCCTCTGTCCAGTGACCAACTGCTCCAGGCCCCTAGGCCCCTAGGTTCCCACTATTTAGTGCCCTCGCCCTAGTACTCAATCTGTCGCACTGGACCCGTCTCTGATGATGGTCGATGGGTGCTAAAGCCATCGGTCTCAGCTGGCTAAGGTAAGGAGGACGGAAGGGAGATCTGAAGCTCCGCCTTCGGGGTTCCCTTTCTGAAACGTCCTTGAGCCCTGCGACCCTTTGTAGCCTCTTGGCAAGCTCTCGCGCTTTCGGCCATCAGATAGGTCCGAAGTGTTCTTGTTCCTTCACAAAAATCGTCGGCGCCCAAGTGTACTAGGACCCTTAAGTACGTGCGTGTCCGGTTAGCTCCTGCCAGTTCGCCAGCTACGTCCGCTACGTGAAGCAGCTGCAGCGAAGTGCAGTGACCTCAGGTGGCTTCCAGGGCTTCTCAGTTCGTGAGATCGTTGAACCGTCTATTTGCAATCGTTAACAGGCCGCCATCGTGGGCAAGATCCAGGCCACGGCCTTTGTTGTGTTTCTTTTTGGGTTGGGTCGCTTGTTTGCCGAGCATGGTGATCCTGACACGGACGGCAGGTCTCATTTGCTGGGCAAAATTGTGCAGCAAGAAGTGTCCTATCATCGTCATCATCACCACCACCACCAGTGGCAGCATCACGAAATAGTCATCGTCGTCGTCGTCGTCATCGTCGCCATCGCTATCGTCATCATCGTGGTCACCCACAGCATCCCAGCATCTTCATTGTCACACCTGTCCTCACCACCACCACCACCATCACCACCACCACCACCAGTACCACCACCAGTATGACCTTTACATCACCAGCGCCCCACTTATTATCATGAAGTTTTTTGGCATCGTCTTCACGATCTTTGCCGCAAGCAACAGTACTCGTCATCAGCAGTGTTCTGAACAGTTTCGCCAGCCAACAAGGCACGGCCTCAGCGAAGCTTACCCAAGAGCAGCTAGCCACTCCCCCTCGACAGGAGAGAAATGTGCAAGTGCACTTCACAGCTTCAAGGCCGAGCCAAGACGTTTTTGCGCACTTCGAAGGCCAGAGAGGACGTACGCGAGGTCCCGAGCCTGCACGGTGATGTTCCTACCGGCGAAGACGTCGTCTCGTTTCTTGTCTCGGCCGTAAAAGACCGCTTTCAGGCCAACTCATGTGCCACGCCTCAGCGGGGCCTGTGAGACCTGTAAGTGCCCACCTTTTGGAGATGTTCTTGATGCTCGATCGTCAACCTTTCCGCAGGTGCCATGAATGCCTAACCGGGGTGTAGCCGCTAGCCTTGCGAGTGGGATGGCATGGGCTTAGCCACTGCAATGCAACCTGGCCAGCATGTCCCCGAAAGCCTTTCCGTCGCGTTTTGCGTGTGCTCGAAGCCCGTGCTGATGACGAGCGTCATCAACTTTCCCGTGGGAGAAAGGTACATGTGGGTCAAAGTTTTCCAATTCGCCATCTACTCTACGAGTTTGTGTCTGCCCCTAGGCCCTAGGCCGTCTGTGCGACAGGTGAGCAGTTTATCATCAGTCCTTCGTTGTGACAGGCAAAAGTTCTTGATTCTCCGCTTGTCTTGATGGAGATGTAGCCCGGCAGGGGCCTTTTTCAGTGGGCCGTCGTGTTCCGGGGCCCGGAGGCATGACATGAAGACCAGAAATTTTGGACGTGACACTTTGCCAAGGAGTTCCTGTAGCTTGAAGGAGAAGGCTTCCTTGCAGAAAACGCAGAATCAAGAAAACGGCGTTGTCAGCTCTTGCTGGAAGCTCCGACGACTTAAAACGCTAAGCCGCTAAGACCAGCATGTGGCCTGAGCATTCTTGATGCCATGCTCGTCCTTCCGGCCTTCTCATTGCAGAAGGGGCGTATCTGTGCTGGTATCCGTGAAATTGGCGTTGGCCACTGATCACCGTGATTTTCCCCGTTCAGACGATCTTGGCCAAGCACTTGGCGCTATAGGCCCTAGGCCCCTAGGCCAAAGTCTGCAAGAGGCTCGTGGAGCTCAGCTTCACGCACTTGCTTGAGCGGGGGAGGAAACAAGCTTTAACCGAAGACGGTGGCAGCCGTGGGCACGTGCGATCAGACCGCTTCGTCTCCGCCATTCCTCCTAGTTCTAAACGCCGCAACCAGAGCGGCATAGGTAGCTTTTGGCATTATTCCTGCGGCGCTTTTTGCTTCCTGGCGGATCTTCACGCTGCGTGCCGTCAAATTGCAGGAAAGAACGTGTGAGGGTGACATTGCGATGGGCATCACAGCAAGAAGTGGCCCCGTGCCCCCGTCATAAATCCTGATCATTCGGCTGGCTGGATAAAGCGGGTGGGGACGTCCGGAAATGCCTTTGGCAGTTTTCAAGCACCCCCCCTATTAAGCTTTGGGGGCTCTCCGCCCAAATCTTCCAGTGACGGCAGTGCTTTGAGGTCATCTTTCCACATGAATCGTTAACATAACAGCCTCATTTTACCGTTTATCTTCGAGGCTAGTTACTGATGAAAGCCGGGTGTCTGCTCTGAAACTTGCAGCTTCGACAAGGCCTCGCTGTAGCTGCCGAAGCCTATCTGCACAGCCGTTGGCCATAAGTGCGGAAGTCGGCGATTACTTAAGAACTTCGGGCTTTGAAAGG